TTTTAACTGTTTTCAATCCTTTATTTCAGAAAGGAGAGCCAGGAGAACTGGGGACTTAGAAAACAGATTCTAAACTGAAAAGTCCCCAGCCCAGGCGTGCAGAGCCAGGGTCTGGGGGCTTTGTGCTGGGCAGGGGCTGCCCTGGGAGGGGGCAAGGAAGGAGGGGCACTTTAGGACATCCCTTAGGCTGTGGAGGGTGTCAGCTGGGCCTCTGGAGCCACTAACCTCTGCTTCCAATCCTGGAGAGCCCTATGTGGGGGACCCAAGGGGCTTTCTTCCTGGAACGGCCCCCACCCTGAGTGTCAGGGAAGCCGGCAGGAGCTGAGGGAGGGAGGTGCTGTAACAGCAGCCACAGCTTCCAGGGACCCAGGCAGGCCCAGCTTCCCACCTGGCACTGAGCATGCCATCTGCTTTAGGCCCTGGCTGGCAGGCAGGTGGGCAGCTTGCTCCCTCAGCGCAGGGGCCGGGGGCACAGAGGCAGACCCAGCACTCAAAGCTCAAAACCCCCACGAGAGGCCTCTGTCTTATGGGAAATGCCTCCAGCTGAACCCCTGTACCCCAACGCACTCTTCATCTGCCTACTGAAGAAACTTCTGGAAATAGCGGAGACTTGAGGGACCCCTTCCTGGGGTGTGGGTATTTGTATTTTTCTGTTTGGGCGTTTGTGTGTCCCAGTAGGACCGACACCCCAGGGAGATGAGGCAGGCGGGCGGGAGGCCTGGCAGACGCCATTACTTCTTCACCATCTGGATGACGTCCTCACGCTCCGTGGTGTGGGTCAGACCCACCTGCTGCAGACTGTACTTGGTGCTGCTGCCCCACACCAGGGCATACTTGAACTGGCTGGTGAGTGACCAGTGGATGCGGTGGCACACGTGCTCCACTGAGGCCCCTTTCCGGAGAATGATGGTCTCTGTGAAGTCCAGCCTCTGTCCTCTCTTCTTGGTGTAGATGCAGGTCAGGGCCAAGTACTCCCAAAGCATCTCCAAGTTCAGCTTCATGCCACAGCTGATGACCACACTGTTGGGTTTTCGGGCCAGGCAGTCCACCTCTTCCATGGAGATCTGGTCGATTTTGTTATAAACATACAGGCAGGGCACGTACACCCAGTTGCCCACGATCACATTGATGAACTCATCTGGGGAGCAGTCTTCTCGGAAGAGCACTTCTGCACTGAAGATCTTGTATTCGTGCAGGATGAGCTGCACCAGCTTTTCCGAGCATTGGGTCAGTGTGACTGTCGAGTTAAAGGAGATGCCGCCGCCCTTCTTGGGCCTGAAGTAGATGTTAGGCTTGTGCTTGTCGAGGCGGATGTCCATGGACTCCAGCTCCTTCTCCAGCAGAGACCTCTGCACCTCTCCCTTGGTGGCATCCAGCATCATGATGACGAATCGGCCGTGCACGCCACAGCAATCACCTGCCGGCCACGGCCTTTTCCTTGTGCTGCGCCTTCAATGATTCTGGGACGGTCCAGGAGCTGGATGTTGGCGCCTTTGTATTCAGTGAGCCCAGGAATACACGTCAGAGCGGTGAACTCATAGGATGCTGCGTCGCTGGCTGTGGGGGTCATCAGACTCAAGAATGTGGACTTGCCCACAGAGGGATATCCAATCAGCGCCACGCAGGCATTGCCCGACTTCATGACATCAAAGCCTTCTCCTTTGGATGGGGCGGATTTGGATGGTTCCAGGAGCTGGGGCCGATACTTGGCGAGTTTAGCTTTCAGCAGGCCCAGGTGATACTCAGTGGCCTTGTTCTTCTGTGTCTGAGCGATCTCCTTCTCGATCTCCGAGATCTTCTCTAAGATCCCCATGGCGGCAGCAGAGCCGGGTGTACGGACAGCAGCTGCAGCGGCACCGGGAATTCTGGTCTGTCAGCGGCAACAGAAAAGTGTGCGCCAGTTTCGTCATGTTGGCCAGGCTGGTCTCGAACTCCTGACCTCAGGTGATCTCCCCGCCTTGGCCTCCCCAAGTGCTGGGATTACAGGTGTGAGCCACTGTACCCATATTTTTGTTTAACGTCTCTCTCTCTTTCCCCCTTGCTGGCTGTGAAATCCCTCATGGGCAAGGATCACGACTAATTCTTCTTAGTTTTCCTTGGTCCAGAATCCAGCAGAGGCACTTTCTCAGCGTTTCTTGAATAAATAAATGGAACCTTTCTTTCTTGGCCTTTCATAGCATTAGGTGCCAAATTTCGGAGCTTCATGCCTTGAAATGTTAGTACTGAGGTGCAAATCCATTTTCCTCACATGCGTCTGGATTCTCTCACCTTCAAATGACATCATCGTAACGATGATGATGATGGTGACAGCAGCCAGCACCTACGCCGCTGTCAAGCATCCTGGGTCTACATGCTTTCCTTTTCAAATCCACAGCAATGGCCAGAGGGAGGAACTACTACTGCCCCCATTTTCCAGATGAGGACACCAAGGCCTGGAGGAGGCTTCACTCCTCTTCCCAAGGTCCCACGCTGTCAGCAGCAGAGCTGGTGTTTCTGCCTGGGGCCACCTCACTTCTGGCACTGACCTTCCCTGTCTGAGGCAGTCAGGAGTTGGACCTGTGGTTGCTGGATGGGGTGGGATGGCTGAGGACCCTGCTGCTGCCTTCCAGAAGCTGGGCTCTCCTGCATGCTGTTTAACCCCCCTTGTTCCACCCCACACAGGGACAAAGGGTGAGGCCGGGGCAACTGGGCCAGGCCAGAAGCTGCTAGAATGTCACACTGGGGCTCTGGAGGCCAGCCCCAGGAGTTGGCTGATGTGCAGGACGGGCTCCTGGAGCTATAAATCCCTGAGGAAACCCCCTCCCTGGGTCTGCAGTGCTTTCTACAAGCTCCTGGCTTGTAGAAAGTGAGTGTATTTAGTTTATCCTCCCTTGCACGAAGCACAGGCAATTCAGGGGCAAGTGTAAGACAAGGGCTATGCCACCCTGAAGATGAGAAGGGGGCACAGAAGAAGTGGCAGGGGACATGAAGGGAAGCGAGGCTCACCTCATCACAGCAGCCTGCTCTCAAACAGCCTCAGGGACAGGCCAGCTTGCCCCTCGCCCCCTCTCCCCTGCTCCTCCCCTCGCTGGCTACTGGTCCTATCCTCTGCTCTCTGGCCCTGGCCCTGCTCTGAGTCCTGGTTTCTCATGGGGGCCTGGTTTGGTCCTTCCTTCTACTCTCAGGCCTTGATTCCACCAGTGTGGACCAAGTCACAGCCTGCAAACTTGGAACACCGGAGTCCCCCACTGGGCCTCCCAGGAAACACTGGAGAATCAGCATGACCAGAGTCCCGGGCCAACATTCCACAGCCTGGCACCCCAGCTGGCCAACGGGTGGAATAAACAGGTGCAGGCCTCGGTTGGGAGAAGCATATAGTGGTCTCCAGGCCAACTCAGCAGCTGGCACCAGAGGGCCAGGGACAGACCATCTGGAGTAAGGAGGGAGCCAGCCCCATGTGCAGCCTCCGGCCACACGGTGGATCTGAGCAGCTAGATGTATTCGCTATATGCACCTGTGATTATTAGCATGTGATTAAGGCAGGTGCAGGTGGTCACGGCTTCCAGGAGCTAGTATTATTAACTCTTCGCTATTGGGGTGATTAGTGCCCGGCTCCCTCGAAGTATTAACAACTTGTCCCTGGGATGTTTCCATCCATATTCCCCATTAGAAGTATTAGCTACCTCGATGCCTGATGATGTTCCATCATGATTGCTATTTGCTATTTGGGCTGGAACAACAAAGTCTTCTTTTCCTTCTCAATTTCCATCACCTAACTGCGGATCTATGGGATACAGAGGACAGGCTTCCTGCTCTTGCTGACTCTGACACCTCTGATTAACTTGGAAACCTAGCAACGGCGGGAGCTGGCAGTGGCTGCGGGCTCCTGCGAGTAAGCAGAGCCCGGCAAGCGGGTGTCAGGATGGGTGAAACCGGAGCAGTGGAGGGCAACCCCCCGGAGTGACTTATCCGTCACGCATCTCCTGATGGCTTTGGAAGTTCTTGTGATTCAATTTCAGGGTTGACAGGAGAGGCTGGTACCATTACAGCGGCTGCAGAGACAGCCATGATGGCAGAGGCAGGGCTTCGAGAGGCAGCTGGGGTCTCCTTAATTATGGGGCACCCATCAGTGGGGTCATGTGGAGGATTCAGTATTTGACCCACGTGAGCCACATGCTCCGGCCTCTGGCTTCCTGAGGGTTCCTTGACCCAAGTTGGTCCTCAGCTAGCACTAAGAACTGTTCTCTGGGGGCCTCCTGGGGGTTACTTAGCCAGGAATCCAGCTCTAGGAGCCCCCCCACCCCTTCTCTCACTCCCCAACAGGGCCAGGTGACTTCACCTGCAGTAGCACAAGTGCCTTCTCAGGTGGGAGGACAGACACAAATGCCCCGAGTGGAGGGACCCAGGAAGGGGGGAGACAGTGGGCCTAGGGTGTCATCCCAGCAGGGCAGGGCGCACCTGAAGGCCTGGCCTCGATGACGTAGCGAGTGATGGGCCCTTTGCCCGGGTCTCCGCTGGACCAGTGGATGGCGATGGCAGAGCTATACCGCACGATGATGGGCACGCCAGGTGGTCCTGGAGCACCTGCAAAACAGCACAGAGGCAAGGGATGTACAGAACCCAGAACAGCCTCCCAGCCTGTCACCTGGGGCTCAAGGGGGAGCACTGGGCAACAAAATCAGCCCTGGACGGAGAGCTGCCAGGAAGCCCTGCAGATGTGGAGGCCTAAGAGTGCATCTCAGCCTGGGCCTGCCAGGATGGACTCTTGTCCCCTCCGGGTCACCCCTATACTCCATACTCCAAATCCCAGGGCAGAAGACAAATGGAATGGTCCAGAAAGTTCCCTGGAGTCAAGTCGGAAGACCTGGGTTCCAGCCCAGAACTTGTTAGATGGGTGACTTTAATCAATCCACATAGCCTTCCAGTGCCTCAGTTTCCCCCTCTATAAGGGCCTTTTGGAAGGTAAGGCTTGAAGGCTGTGTCTTAGATGGGGGGCAGGGGGCAATAGAAGTGGATGCGATGATGGCAGAGTGGGCCCACGAGGGCAGGGGACTGGTCGGAGTGGGGCTGAAGAGTTCACAATATTGCCCTCCTGGTATGTGATAGGATGTCTGCCCTCCCTCCCTCCTGCAGGAAATCCCCCAACCCCAATTGCATTTGCTATTAGGTTAGGCAAGGGGAGAGGGGTTCAGACTCCCAGAAGCCTTGGAGCCTCTGCTGCTGGGAGGAGGGAGGAAGGACTGGAGCCCTTGCCGTTCTCCTGGCATGAAGGTACGTCAGGAGCGGCCTGGGATGTGGGCCAGCCAGGGAGCTGGCCCTAGGAGTTGAAGCAGGAGAGAGGAGGTGACTTCCGCAGTGAGAGGAGTGAGCAGGTGTCTGTCTACAAGGGGCTCTGAGTCCCTTCTCCTCTTGGGGGTGCCTGTCCAGAATCCTGACCCTACATGCTATCACCTCTAAGCCTATTCCCCACCAGAGAAGGGGCTCTGCATCCCCAGAGGTGGTACACAGTAGGTGCTCAGGGGATGAGGGAGGGAGCCAGTGCATGAGTGGGTGGCCACCTGGCTGGTGGGTGGGAGGTGGGGGGGTCTCTGTGGATGCCTGCCAGGAAGACAACAGAGTCCAGCCTCACACTGATGCCCCCCAGGGCTCTGGAGAACCAGCAGGCCAGACAGAAGGCCAGGGACCAGCTCACAATCTGGCAGCCCTGCTCAGCTCCTATGCCCACCCCATGGCCTTGGAGGGCCCCATTTCTTTCCTTCCCTAAGGAGCAGCCTGTCAGCAGCACAAGGGCAGAGCAGCTGAGGGGTCAGGTGGGGTAGACACGCCCGAGGGGGTGGGGGGGCAGCCCTCAGGATCCTGCACTCTCCTCCTGCACAGGGCAGTACTCAGGGCTGATGGAGCCTGCACCTCCCCCGGGGCCACTGCCTGGCTGCACGTTCTCCCCCCACAGACCCCACCCTGCACCCACATCAAGTAGGGAGGATGGGTTTTCTTTCTTTCTTTTGAGACATGTTCTCACTCTGTTGCCCAGGCTGAAGTGCAAGGGCACAGTCAGATCTCACTGCAGCCTCACCTCCTGGGCTCAAATGATCCTCCCACCATAGCCTCCTGAGTAGCTAGGACTTCAGGTATTTGCCAGCACACCTGGCTAATTTTATTTTTGTAGAGATGGGGTTTTGCTATGCTGCCCAGGCTGGTCTTGACCTCCTGGGATCAGGCAATCCACCTGCCTCGACCTCCCAAAATGCTGGGATTATAGACGTGAACCACCGCACCCTGCCGGTTCTTTCTGAGTGCCCTCCCCTACCTTTTCTGTACCCCCGCCCTCTCTCTCCTCCCACCCCCCACCTCCCTGGCTGGGACACTTTAAGTCTCAGGATAGAACAACCTGTCCTTTGCACAGCCCTCTCTTGTCCCCAGGCCACTGCCAAAGCTTGGTCTTCAGCTGCTTGCCAGCTCGGTCTCCTGCTCTTATTCCCCAGGGAGCTGCCTCAGGTGAGAGGCAGCACAGGGCGGGGCTGGGGGTAGGTGCAGGG